CTGCTTGATGGCCTCGAGGAGTGGGATGTTAATGTGAACTTTCTGGAACATTTGCATAATCTCACTCACCCCCCGTTCTTTCTTCGTGCTCTTTAATCGTTCGGGGAATGGAGCAGGTGTGGCTTTAGGCTCAGTGACGAAGGGCTTATTTGCGGTTGTTTTATCTTCCTTCTTTTCTTCTTTTGTTGCCTCTTCGACCACTATTTATTCTTCTTCTTGATCAACCGACACTTTTGGACCATCGTAGCTCTTTCCGCCTCTCAAAGTGATGGCACACACGTTGTGCCTTGGGTTCGTTTCTGTTTGGGCGGGCAACTTTCCTTGAGATTCTAGTTTGCTTACAGAAATAGCAAGTTGTGAAACTTGTTGCTCTAAGTTCATTATACTTGCTTTTGTCTCTTGTTGGAAAGTTTGTGTACTAGTTGCCAAACTCTTCACTACGTCCTCTAAGGACATATTTGATGAACCCACTTGTTGAGGAGGGTGTTGTGTCTGCCTTGGCTAGAAGTTCTATGGTGGAAAAGGTGGTCTTTGTTGGTATTGATATGGTTGACTTGGTTGATAACTTCCATGTTGATATCCTCCCCAACCTTGATTGTTGTTCCATCTTTGATCACCTTGTGGCTACTCATATCCCTTTTGATTTGACCCAGAAAAGCCTCCCATGGCTTTTGCTTCTTCATAATCCTCATCTTAAAGTTGAGGGCACATGTCGGTTGGGTGCCCCACTTGAGTGCAAATACCACAAGGGCGAGGTGTGGGCTACACACCTTTGTCTTTGTCTAGCATCATGACCACTTTTGTAAGCTCGGACAATTGAGCTTCAATTTGAGGAGTTTGGACTTCCTTTACACCTCGGGGTGCATCTATATACCATTCTTCATCATGGCTTGAATGTTTAGAATCTTCAGCCATGTTCTTAATTAAGTTGCGGATTTCGGTTGGAGTCTTGTCGGGTAAAGATCCGCCACTGGAGGCATTTAGAATTCTTCTTTCCATTGGATTCATGCCTTCAATGAAGTATTGGAGGAGCTGATATTCGGTGATTCCATGCTTTGGACATCGGGCACAAAGTTTCTTGAATCTCTCCCAATATGTGTGAAAAGCTTCTTTCTTGTGTTGCTTGATTCCAATGATTTCCCTCCGTAGGGCTGAAGCTTTCATCTCTGGGAAGTATTTGTCCAAAAAGAGGCGTGCAAGATCTACCCAAGTAGTAACCGTCCCCGGTGGGAGGTCATAGAGCCAGTCTTTTGTTGCGTCTTGCACCGCGAAGGGGAATGCCCTAAGCTTAATTTGATCCTCAGTGACATTGTGTGGCTTCATGCCCACGCACACAACAGGGAACTCAGTGAGGAACTTGTGAGGATCTTCATTTTCCAGGCCTCTAAAGGTTGGAAGTAAGTGGATGAGCCCGGATTTCAGTTCTAGTTTGGTGGTTGCCGGATATGTGATGCAAAGAGGTTGTTGAGTAACCTCTTGCCTCGACCATTGACGGAGAGTTTGCTCGTGTGGTGGATTTGGAGGTGGGTTCCCTCCATGGTTATCTCCCATGGTATGAGTAGTGGTTGAAGTTTCTGTGGGTGTAGAGTTTGGGATGTTTTGAGTAGGTGAAGAGGGTGGTGGTATTTATGGGTGAGGATGGTTGTGGTGAGAGTGAGAGAGTTTCTGTTTCGGATGCGGACACACTTGAGAGGGGTATATCCTCCCAAATGTTAATGACCGGAGGGATAGATGATGAAGAAGTCCCAGAACCCGGTTGCCTCTTACGAAGCTTGGCTTGCTTCCGTAACCTCTTTGCAGTCTTCTCTATCTCCGAGTCAATTGGCAATGACGTACCTATACGAAAAGATCTTGGCATAAAACAATTAGTAACACCGTGTCCCCGGCAACGGCGCCAATTTGTTAGGCGTGTCAAAACCAACAAATAAAGGGGTACGATATACTCCTAAGAACACTACTATATTGCACTAAAAGGTAGTACAAGGCAAGTAGGGTCGATCCACAGAGACACAGGATAATCGGTCTATACCTCTTTGTGCAAGGTACTATGGTCACCAATAGTAAAGAGGGGATTTGTAATGCAATAATTAAAACAAACAATTGAAAACACAAGTAATCAACTGAAAGAGTGAATTAAATTCAGAAATGGTAAGGACTCCAACTCTATGTATGACAACTTAGCAATGCGATTCCAAGATAACATGATATTTTCTCAATTCTATCTAAGTTGGTACTTGAAAGTGTTAACAAGCTCTAACACTTCCCATTCACCACATTAATTAACCAAAACAAGCTCTTTGCTTAACCCTAACCTTACTAACCTAATCTAAACACACTCTTAGAATTAGATTTAAAGATTGCATTAAACTTTATGTGAATGTTCCCAACAACACCCAATACCCCTTACAAGCTCGGGAGCGTAAGAGTGTGTGAATAAGATTTACACTAAATTCATTCAATGGAAATCAGTTTAGTGCTTGTTACTTGTTCAATTTCACAAAACAATTATGGATTTTGTAAAAGAGATAACTTGAATGACCTAACCCTAATTCAAATGGTCAATAAGAATCACAATTAGAATCAAACATTCGATTAAAGCTAAATCAAATTTACTAGATAGAAATTAAGAACAAACACCAGGTCATATGATTGAAGTCACTACCAAGAAGTCAAAACATGAAATTGGAGAAACTAGGGTTCTAGCCACACATGGCTAGAACAAGATCACAAGAATAAAATATGGAAATAATGTGCAATTACAACTTACAAATACTAGAAATAATGTTTCCAAATGATTACTGATCAATCCTTTGCAATAACCTTCGAAATCCCCTCTCAAAATGTGCTCTGATATGTTCTGTGTATCTCAAAATGGCCCTCAACCCGTAATATGAAAGATAGGAAAAATTGCCAAAAGTTGGTTTTTGGGTTGAACACGACCCGTGTTAAAATAGGCTAAACTGACACGACCCGTGTTCAGCAGTCAACACGGCCCGTGTTCAGCATGGTCAACAGCTCCCATTTTGGTAAACACGACCCGTGTTGATTTTGCAGTGTAAATCCAACACGACCCGTGTACCCCTCTGACTCCGAATCTAAACTTGATTTTTCCAACTTTTTCGTTCTTCGCCCGATCATCCCGAAATCTTCACCAATGCTTCCCGGCACCTCCCAAAGCGCATTCCAAGCTCCGGTTTACCTGAAAAAGACATGAAAGTGTGCAAATAAGGTTGTTCTAGAGACTAACGTGAATATGATGAAATGCAAGAAAAATGAAGAACAATTATGCTAAATAGATGCATGAAATGAGACTAAAATGTGTGCAAAAAGGTGCACAAATTGCACCTAACACATCACCATGTCTATAGTTTTGGTTTACTTTTGTGACCGTTCCTCGGTTCCGAGGCTGTAGGCCTCCCCACTTTTTTATACCAAAAAATATAGAGTAAAAACCATTGCTTTGCGCCCACATTTGTTTTGTTCGAGTTGCTCTCCTATAAACAATTACTTTTTTTTTGTCATCGGCTATAATTCCAGATGGATGAAAGGAAAGCTTGAGCACAAGTACACTTTGTTAAATTATAGCAAATATCAAATAAAATCAAACATGTGGCTCACGGGGTTAGCTGGAGTGACGAACAACTACTCCTGGTGCTTATAAGCCATCGACTGAAAAACACAATCGTTAGGGTTCTCTTGGCATGTACCCAACTTAAAACAATCTGTCATGTGTATATTATTCATCATAATAAGTAATTGAAAGTAAAGATTCAATTATTTATGCAATGATTGGGGTTCACACACTGAAGGTGAAAGGACCATGAAGGAGAGAAGACAACAAGAAGAGAAGACAACGACTCATACCGTTAGGGCAAAAGGCCTTTGGTAAAAAAATGTTGACTTGAAGTCCAGGACTCACAAAACATTACCAGACTCTAAGGAAAAAATAAACCTAAATCCAAACACCAAATATTTGATTAATAATTGATGCAAATAGTTCTCAACCAATGAAAGGGACATTTATTTACAACACAATACTCTACTTTCTAAATCTACACCTTACAAGAGGAGTAGAACTTTCAACCTTTGGCTAAGGGACATCTATCAGTCAGCTCCGATTATAGTTAGGCCAAAGACCCTTTACTCTCAATTTATCTTTTCTCTTGCATGTATTTTTCCAAGTCTTAGTTTTGATTATAACTAGACAACGTTCAATAGTACACACAAGATTCTTCCTTCGGGAGACCTTATTGTTGAAAGATTCAAAACAAGCAACTTGCCTCTGACTAGTTCAATCAAAATCTAACTGGAACTCAACTAATCATGTTTCAACCTTGTTTTTATATTTGATTTTAAACTCGATAAATTTCAACTCGATAAGTCTGGATCACTTGTTAAAAGCTTGATTGTTTGCAATCTTGGTCTATTTATGCATGACAAAATATGACAAAATATACAAAGCGGGATCGGTCGAATAATAGGCAATTTTTTTTTGGATCAAACGAGTATATTTTCATGTTTTCGTGTTTGTCAATTAACTGTTAAAGTCTCGGTGATCAGTTTGACATTTTTTCTTTTAATTATTCATTTTATTTCATAAATATCTTATATAAACAATTATTACAAAAATAACATCTACTTTTTTTTAAAACAATAAAGTGTTATAGGCATACGATATCAATTGAATACATTTGATAAACTTTTTTACGATTTGACTTGTTTAATATTTTAACTAAATTTTTTAATTAAAATATAACACAAATTCTCAATTTTTATTTATAAATGTGTTCATGGTTGAATACTTGAATTCATCAAAATTTTAAATGATTTGATTGCATTAATTGAATATTCAAAAGATGATTTTATTGCTTTCATTATGGGTAATTTTATGAATGAAACGTATAAATGTGTTTATGACAAATTAATATATATTGTCCTGTCAAACTTAAACTTCCATTATATATTTATACGTTGAGACATTTTTAATAATCATTTGAATTGCTCAATTGATTTTCTTGTTTCTTATTCCACGAGAGCATGGCACGATTCACAACAATGGTGGTGTTTAATGGCGTACTTCTTGTAGCCCTTGTCTTATCAGGTATCTCTTGCCTTTTGTATCCCCTTAAGATGTAATCTTGACATTGTTTTTCTCTTTGATTTTGTATGATCTCTAACATGTAATTGTTTATACAATGTTTCAGTTGAAATGGTGACACCAATAATGGGCAATGCATGTAGTGATTTGATACCAATTAAGCCGAAATGGTGTGCTGGGGAACAAGTATCAGATGACTGTTGGGATGCTTGCAGGTTAAAGCATGGTGAGAAAATTGCAGCAAAGTGTTTTTATGAACCATTAATTCCAGGAAATGATAGGGCTTGTAAATGTTATTGGCCATGTTTAATTAATGATGTTTTTTATCCTAATGGGACATAATATTTGATATGTGAAGTTACTGAAATATCCTTAGAATTCAATAAAAATATGTATCTTGGAAAGGGAATAATATATTCTTATTAAACTAGCAAAACACTAATTAAAAAGAGATGACAAATAAATAATAGCTAATTTGAGTTTTGCAAACAACAAACTCTACCAAGGTTAAACTCTGAGTTCCTATAGACTACTACTACAGAGAGAATAATACTATGCTAACTATCGTATAAAAATGACATATTTCATTGGTTTACTCGATATAAAAACAAGCATATTTCAAAAAGCCCAAATCACCCAAGTACTTAATGAACGCATCCCAACATTTTTCATTGCACCAAACAAGCCCTTAGTATATGTCCATCGAATCTAATCCAAATTGTGCCAACTTGTGAAATGTATAATTCCCACCATTGAGAAATTTGTCTTTTCTTGATACTTGAACTATTAATTGTTTTCTTACAAAAGTAGGATGACTTTGTTAGAAAATAATATATATTCAGTTTTCTATTTGTTAATCAACATAATAAACGAGATTATGAAGTTTGATGAACTTGTTAGTGTACTTATTCCAATTTTTATATTCATGATTTGTCATATCTTTACATACACGAATGACACTTGTATCTGGATCAAGTAACTCGTATGACTTCAGGCCATCGTTTTCTTTCCCACATTCAGCTGACATTCCTAAGGAACTTTTTCCTTCATTTGAATCTGACTTGTACTTTCTCTCAAATTTAGGATGAGTATTACTCGTGACACCCTTAACCTCAAACTCATCTACTTCAACGACTAGGCTTCTAGCAGCTATATCATTCAACCAAACAAGACGTCTTCGGGAATGGCATGATATATGGCAGCCATTGCCGTCTTATCCTTCTTAACACTAACCGTGTTATCGGGTTTCTCCGGTTCAATCGCATCCCAAACCTCCATTGCTTGCATGAACACCTTCATATTAATTGCCCATGCAACATAGTTGGTTCTAGTCAATATGGGATAATGCATCTTCATTCCTTCCATGATTTCGTCAGTGATCGATTGAAATTCCTTAGCTCTGATACCAAGTGTAGGAATTAATTCACTTAACTCCCTTGATAATGAACATTATGCAAGAATCAATTCACTTGATTCTATTAGGATGTTAACTACAAAATCGGAAATTGAATCAAAGCTTAACAGAGACAGAAAAATAAGAATCAATTCACTTGATTTGGGAGAATAAAGACCTTGACTGTGCAGGAAAAAAACAGAGACGAACGCGAAACATGGGATAAGTATTTTCTGGGAAAATTGCTTGTTATACAAGCTTAATTGACAAATGAGATTAGAGCACCTGGTGAGGTAAACTTGTTTGAAGTGTACTTATTCTAATTTTTATATTCATGATTTGTCATGTCTTTACATACACGAATGACACTTGTATCTGGATCAAGTAACTCGTATGACTTCAGGCCATCGTTTTCTTTCCCACAGTCAGCTGACATTTCTAAGGAACTTTTTCCTTCAATTGAATCTGACTTGTACTTTCTCTCAAATTTAGGATGAGTATTACCCATGACACCCTTAACCTCAAAGTCACCTACTTCAACGACTAGGCTTTTAGCAGCTATATCATTCAACCAAATTTTATATGTAACATCCAAAATCCTGAAGAGAAATTGTTGAGAATAACCCTAGTTCTAGGTCAAATCGACGAGTTGGAGGGACCAACTCGTCGTGTTGAAGATGGGCGGATCGCGAAGGTTTAATGAACCAACTTGACGAGTTGGGGAGCCTCAACTCGACGAGTTGGCAGCTGGGAAGGAAACCCTAATTTTTAGGGTCTTGCACCCTATTTAAGATCCTTAAGTCCTTTTGATGGCCTCCTTATCAGCCTCCATTGTTGTCCAAACCCTAAAACGAGTTGTAGCCTCCATTGTCAAGATTTTGGATCCTTGGAAGGAAGTTTGGTGTTCTTTTTGTGCATTGTGAAGGAATTAGAAGATCTTGAAGTTTCTAGCTTGGGGAAGGAAGTCTTGGATCTAGAATCACACCATTTCTTGCAGTCATTCTAAGGTATCAAGTTCATACCTTGACTTGTAGATGATTAGATCTCCTTATTTTGGGTTTTGTTGTGTTTTGGCCTCCTTTTTAGGGATGGTGAGGGAGTGAAGTCATTTGAGGGATTGTCCCTTCAGATCTGAGTTAGTTTTGGTACCTTTAAGCTTAAAGGTGCAAACTTTATGAGGATTTTGGTGTCATGCATGCATTAAGTCAAATATTAAGTCCATTCCAAGCTTAAGAGTTTCATTTAGACATGCATGAACGTAAAGTTGGCAACTTTACATGGTTTTCTAGCTCAAGGAAGTCAAATCAATGTTTTCGAGTCATGTCCTTATGGATTAAGAGCTTAATGTGTTAAGAGGTGGGTTTCAGGCGAACTCGACGAGTTTGTTGGATAAACTTGGCGAGTTGGCTCGGTTTTCCCCGACATTTTCAAACTGATAGAGGAACTCGGCGAGTTTGTGGTCAACTCGGCGAGTTGACTTGGTTTTTCCCAATCTGTGCAGTTGATAGAGAAACTCAACGAGTTGGGTCAACTTGGACAGTTGACTTTGACTTTCGATTTATGTCTTTAACCAAGTTTGTCCCAAGGGGGTGCTTGAAGTAATCTGAATTGTAATAAGGAAAATTATGGGCTTATGATAAGGCACATATGGGGTTGGGCCCATTAGTGGGCCTGTGGATCTTTTGGTTTTGGGCCTCAGTTTTGGTGCATGTTGGATCAGGGGTAAAATGGTCATTTTACACCAAGTATGGATTATGGATTATAGCATGGAACCCAATTGTTAATTGGGTGTGTTGTTGGTATTGATAGCTCGAGAAGCCGGCAAGGCAGCAACTAGGGATTTCTTTTGGGGAGCTTCTGCATTCGAGGTGAGTTGTCCTCACTGTACTTGCGGGTCGAAGGCACCAATGCTGGCCCATTGGATTGATATCCTGTTATGCATGCTATTGTATTGATATCCTGTTAGATCGGTATCCTGGTAGATAGAATGTTGCTATGTTATGATCTGTTAGATCGGTATCCTGGTAGATAGGATGATGTTATGCTTAGTGATCTGTTAGATATGCCTGTTATCTGTTCTGGCTATATGTTTTCCAGTAGCATGTGTTGATGTAGTGTGGTTGGGTTGAGACTGTACTGCTTAGTGCTGCCAGTCAACAAACCTTGTAATGTTTATATTGGTACATTATATGTATGCTTATCTGTTATGTATATGTCGACATGGTTTGTGTGTGTGGTTGGGTTGAGGCAGACTTGCTTTGAGCTGAAGGCCAACAAACCCAGGGCGTCCCGGATAGAATAAAGGCCAGTGGGGCGTACCAGTCAAGCCGAAGGCCCGGAGAACGGTCCAGACAGGCTGAAGGCCCGGTGAGGCGGTCCAGACATGCCGAAGGTTCTATGAGCGTACCAGATATACTGTACGCCAGTGGGGCGTTCCAATCAGACTGAAGACTCTATGGGCGTACCAGATAGACTGTAGGCCGGTGGGGTGTTCCAGTCATGCTGAAGGCTCTGTATGTATGTTGTTATTTGTATATGTTATTTGGTTGGGTGTTGGTACTTTGGGGGAACTCACTAAGCTTCGTGCTTACAGTTTTGGTTTATGGTTTCAGGTACTTCAGTGGATCGTAGCAAGGTAAAGGCGTGACCATACACATCCTCGTGTTTTGGACTTATGATTTCTAGGAAACTCTGATAATGTGAACATTTTGAAAACTATGTTGAAAGAGATTCTGATTTTTAAGTAATGTTTTGGGAACAACGGTTTTTGTAAACACGTCTATAGAAAAAAGGTTGTTTTGAAAAGTTTAAATTTTATGAAATTTTATGGATGTTACATTATACAACCGATTTTTAGATTATTGTACCTTCATTAGAAACTTGTCTCTTTTATCATATATCCATAGAAATAGTCCATGAATAATGATCTGATCACCATTTTGTGCAAGTTAACCCAAACTAATAATGTTATTGCATAGTTGTGGTATGTAATATACTCATTGAAGCATCCGTTGCTCACCATTCTTACATCGAAATATAATTGACCTTTTTCCCTCAACTCGTTCCTTTGAGCCGTCTCCAAACTTCACATACCCTTGAACCGCTTGATTAAGTTCAGAGAATTTCTCTTTATCTCCTGTCAAATGGTTGCTTGTGCTGTTATCGAGATACCAAATCTTAGACCGATTTTTCTCTTTGTCATCCGGTTTAAATTTTGGATTCACCTTTTCTTCGTTTAAGAAAATTTCATCTTTAGGCTCACTATTGTGGAGTACCGCCATTAGTAAAGCCGGTTCATCATCGATGTAACCTTAGGCTAGGTTTGCTTCGTATTTTCTCTCTCGTCTTGGGTTCTTGCATTCGGCTACATAGTGCCCATATTCTTGGCAATTGTAACATTGAATGTGACTCTTATCTTGATTATCAAACGTACCACGAGTGTCTTCACGAGATTGATGGTTGTTACCTCTTCCACGACCTTCACGATTTGTGTGATTTCCACCGCGCGCGACCTCTTCCCCGACCACCATGGTTTTGTGTGTTGCTTTGATTGTTTTCCTCTGGCGAACAAACATGGTCTTCGTTTTGTTTTTTCTGTCTTTCTTTCCATTCTTGGTGAGTGAGTAACAATTTCTTTTCATCTTGTTCTTCGTGTTCGACATGCCCACTGATTCTCTCTTCGGTACAGCACGAAGCAACTTTTTCACAACATATGCTTCCTCCATAGTATCTCCCAAGGCCCGAATGTTGCTCACGATGTTACCGATTTTTCCGGAAAAATCATCAACTGACTCAGATTCTTTCATGCTAAGAACCTCGAACTCCGCCTTTAGAGTTTGGACCTTCGCAACCCTAACCCTATCTGCACCCATGTACATCAACTTCAACGTTTGTCGTACTTCTTTTGTCGTTTACTTCTCCGCTATCGACAACAAGACGTCTTCGGGAA